ACCCGGTCTCGAGGACAGAGGTCAACATAGAAGCGACACCGGACTATCCTCATACAGAGGATTTAGATAGAATGTCCGTTACAAATTCTGAAGTGGAGAGCGCCATGAATCATCGGCGTCGGCGGGCCGCACTCCGCGACCCTAGTTTTTCAGAAGAGGCTTTTAATGCCTTCAACTCGGGTGAGGCTTACATCCGAGCCGCTCAGGATGGGCTTGCTAGAGCCACTGACCAGTATTTGAAAGATATATGCGTAAGTATAAAAATCTGATAATTATGTATATCAGTAGCCCTTGAGACTTGAATCAGTTGGTACAACTAATTTAAGGATCATTGTACTAATAGGTTCTCTCGAATAAGAACAACCTATTGTCTCAACAGCTGGAAGTGAGTCGAACCCAGCTAACGGCCGCTATGGCCAAGCTGTCAATATCCGAAGAGGCATCGACTGGTATGTATTCCCGAATTGAGAAAAAACAACATTGTGTTTATAAACCAGTAACACTAACAATATCTGATGACCAAAATTCTCAGATAATCCGGAACAGAATCCGGGAATCCCACAAGAGGGTGAGCAAGAGCCACAAAGGCAAGCAGCCACTGGCGAGCGTGTACTTACACGGGTCAACAGAAGAAAAATGAGCTCCAAGATGCTAATCCCCAGCTGGGTGAAGAATTGAAAGATGTTCGGGCCCAGCTGGTGGACTCCGTGAAGGAAAATAAGAGACTTCAGCGCAACATTTTTAGTATATTCTCAAACGAACATTTACATAGTTCGGCAAACATAGGAACTAACAGAGTTATGTCTGTAGGTATGCTGATGGGCCGTCCCAAAGAGGAGATGCCCGGATCCTCCGGCGATCTGCTAAAAGAGCTTTTGCAACTGCACGAGCAAGTTTGGCAGGTCATGCAGGGTGTCACCAAGGCCTTGTGGCAATCCGCCTCCCTACCAGGAAGTATGGGGGAGCTTGTACAACTTTTCAAGGGAGCGCGGCAACATTGTCGACTATGGAAGATATCTTCCTGTCGAGAAGGTGCGAGGGAGGCTTGGGCCATGGTGAAAACACGGTATACCAAGCTCGATCCAAATCATATGGCCCAGGTCGGACCTGTAGGGTCAGATGGGAAAGAAATTCCCATTAGTCCGGTATATGACTAGGTAGAGTTAGCCGCAAGATATTCCCAACAGGATCGTAGGCTTTGCGTCTATATGATGATGTACTTCAATTGACATATTTGTCCCTAGCCCGATTGTAAAAGATTTATCATGGTGGACCTTTTCGCTTCAGCCTCTGGACCTGACAGTCCGGAGTGTTTCCGAATACCCGCTCACTAATATAAACCGGGGTACGAATTGAAACCAGGCGTAGGGGTCATAATTGCTTGAACAGACAAGTACCCAACTAGCTATGTTATATTACATGGTTAGCAAGAAACATCTTCCAGAGAGAATAGTTCCTTTAAGGGTTCCTTTCCCCGGGTACACATGGATTAACGTGCATGTACAAGCTGCGATCAAATAGCGCAGTATATGAAACATCTGGGGGGGTTATATTGTGATAGGTAAAAAACATATTTAGTTCATCGACTGAATATTCCCTTAAGAATGCTAGCTTTCGGCTTCACCCAGTCTGAGGTACATGTCCTGAGTATCCTGCAGTAACAATCGCAGAGGTGCTCCCTTTATGCCCTAGTCGAATTAACGGGAATGTAGGGCATAAGCACAGGAGCCAGACAACCCAACTTGGCCAAAACTTAAGTCATATCGATGCATATAATGGTGAAGAAAAGGTACATATGGAAAAAGGACACGTATGCAGTGGGATTAATGCTCGGAAGATAATTAAATTAAGCTTTTGTATAAGAAGCCCCCAGGTAAAATGAACGCACACACTTAAAGATTAGTGCGTCACAAGTGTGTAGTCTAGCCACACTAAAGCTTTAGAGGTTTTCAAAATAAAAGGCGAGAGGACAGCTGAAAAGTAAATAAAAAGGAACAGAGTGAAGGAGACGAACAAGGAGTTCGGTGCTAGGCGTAGAATCTTCGGAGTCTGGCCGCGTTCCATGGGTTCCTGATCGATAGTAGGTACAGTGGGGTTTTTATACTCAAACTGCGAGTGTCGTGTTCTCCTCAGGGACTAGGCGACGACAACTATACTCGGCTAAAGCTAGGTAATAGAATTTAGATGATGATTGCAAGGAAATATAGACCTAAACTAACCAAAGTTGATGATAAAGAAAATAACACAGTAGCAAGGAAGGTTCAAATTATTTTCAACAATCTTTTTGGTATTTTCGTAATGCTTGAGAAATTAAGATACTAACAAAAGCTATCATCAATGACAAGAGAAGTAAAAGGACATGAACATAACACACACATATATATCACAGGTTCATTGCTAGCACAAGGTACAAGATATATCACTGGGACTACAAAATAAACACCGGTTACAAACAGGATTATAAAGCACATGTACTGGACTCACATCACACTAGCCAAATCTCCTTGACATAAATCAGTGCAACAATAACTAGAAGACTAAACTGTCAAACATGATATATATCACAAGAACTTGAGCAACAGTCTACAGTAAACTAGACACTAATCAGTAGCAAGTGCAGTACATAATTAATATATTTCACACACACACACACACAAAATACGAATATGGTATTACAGGGCACTGTTCTAATACTTTCCGATGAACAAAAACAATACTACAGTAGTAAACAATCACTAGTCTGAAACTGAACATGTCATAGCATTATTATACAGTTACAAATCTGAACCAATAGCAAGTTTCAAGCACTAGCCAAATATGAATATTACATATGATCTCAAGTCTACAGAAATTTAGAGAATGATGGGGAGTAGCAGCAATTTATGGTTCAGATTAGGTGCAGAGCAGGGGGCGAAGGAAGAAGCAGCAGCTAGAAGCTTCGAGTTGAGAGAAGGAGGGAAGTGGTGGAAGTGGAAGAGATGGAGCAGCAGCGTGGGGTTGAGAAGAAGAGCAGCAACAGCAGTGTTAGGGGAAGCAGAGGAGGAGGAGCAGAGAGATGAACAGCGGCAGGGGCGTGGGAGAAGCAACGAGGCAAGGGAAGGAGGAACAAGAGAAGCAGCGAGGCAAGGAGAATCGCGCGGGGCACCAGACGCCTCATCTGGTCGGGCGCGGGAGCGTGGGGTGAAGGAGCAGTGGAGGCGCTGGTGGTGCTGAAGGTACTAGGAGGCACGGGGAGATGGCGGCGCATGTGGTTGGTTGGTCGTGCGCACGAGTTGGTGGTGGTGGCGCTACTGGTGGAGTGGATATGGTGGTGTGGTGCTGGAGGTGGGTATGCTCGTGGATGGATGGGTGGCAGAGGCGCACCACCACGCCGGCCTGGCCGTGGCGGCGGCCGGAGGTGGAGAAGGAGGTACGAGGGAGAGAGATGAGTAGCCAGGCCCGATCGGATCCCTCCAGCGCCTAGGGATTTTGTTACCCTCCTCTCATCTGCACTTTGTGATTTGGCCCTCTTTCTTCTCTTCTTTCTTCACAAGAAGGTCCTCTCACTTCTTTATCTAGCCCCCTGGTTACTTCTCGTCATCTCACACAAGTCTCTTCTTCCTTCTCTTCTCTTCTTCACTCTTCTCGATAGCCACATAGACAGAATCTTGACGATTATTAGTGCCTTTGCGCACATTTCTATAAGATAGACAAAAGACTAGTAAATGATCCTTTTTGATGATTATCAAGAAATATTCAATCAATCATGGCAAGAATGGACGAATATGTCACGATAGATGTTATATTTGAGTACCAAAATTATATATGTGAAATATACTTATCAAGTTCCCCCACACTTAAACTTTTGCTTGTCCTCAAGCAAAGGAATATGACAAGAGCTAGATAATGAATAGTGAGCTGACTGGAGAATGTCCCGGTGAAGTAGATCTCCAAACAAAGCATGCTTTGGACTTAACTAGTGAAAATCAATGGTTAAGAGTGCTACAGAGCAATAGAGTACTAGTAAGCATGACCATTTTAAACTTTTACAATGATAAAAGAGGATCAACAAGTTTAAATGATGACTGTGCCAAATGGTTCCTAAAGAGAGCATGATCCCGAGAACAAAATGAACTAGAATTAAATCTTGTGATCGAATCACTTATTTACAGAGATAAAGAAATGATTATATTATTATTAGTCTCACCATAGGAACATACCACCGATCCCGAGAACATGGTATACACCTGGCTCGACCAATTATTAGTTTTTTTGTTTGTCTCCCCAAAGGAACATACCACCGATCCCGAGAACATGGTATACACCTGGTTTGACAATTACATATTTATTTATTTATTACTATCCAAGCTACCAGATTTCACATGCCACCGATCCAGGGAACATGACATGCTACTGTAGGTAGACCAGACTTATTTATTCAATATTACTTATCTTAAATGAACAACGCATAAGCACAAAAACAGGAATCATCACTTCTCCATGTTTAGTTCACATGCTACCAATCCAGGGAACATAGCATGCTAATCCATAGTGGTTAGGTGATTGCTCTCAATCGGAACACACTTAGCACAAATTCAGCATCTAAACATGGTGATCTAGGTGTATCAAGGTAAAAGCAGAAAATGATCAAGTTTTCTAGTGTACTAGGGATTTGAGCACTCAAAACTAATAACTTCCACAAATTTCAGCAAAGCATGCATGGTGTAGATCACTAGTTTACAAGGCATTCAGAAATCAAGTTCACAAATTTACATCAAGCACAATGCCAAAGGTGAATTTCAGCTTGACAACAAGTAATAACTAGCTCAAGCAACCCAACTAGCAATTGAATTCAGCATGTATTTATGACATTCAGAATGGGTCATGAAACATCTCACCGGGCTTTGATCATGTAGCACTCGCTCGATCACCTCACCAACTGCAGCTCCTCTCCTTTTGCTTCTCTATCCTCATGCCTGCTCCAGCTTCTCCCTTCCTCGTGTGTGCCCCCTTGCTTCTCCTCATCCCCATGCTCTGAGCCCACCAGGGTCCCAAGGAATGTCACCTCGAACCTGGTCAGCGTGTAATGGATCGTGCACAAGCAAAAACCTGAAAGAGCATTCAACGAAAGAGACAATGCAAGTGGTAGGGATAATACCCTCCAAGTCATCAATCGAATATCCAATTACATAAGCATAGATATAAAGCACATGTTTAGGATGGTAGAAATCAGCAAGGTCGACACTAACATGAGGATGAAATTTATCATTAAGCTCAAGACTAGCATGGGAATAATATGTTTCATTAAGCATAGGACTAGCATAAGGAAAATAAGTGTCATCATCAGGAATGAGAGCAATGCCACCAACAATGTATGTATGATCATGTCCAAGCAAATAATTTTTCAAGTCTAGCTTAATTGATGGTATAACACAATGGAAAGTAGCAGCAAAGATCTCATAAGGAAGCATGTCATCAAGAGGATTGGATAAACCTACTAAATCATGCTCCTGTATGATGATGGGCAAATGCGTTTCTGGTTCTTCATCTTCAATCACATCAACTTCTTTTGCTTCTTCAAGAGTAATAGATGATGAGTCTTCAACTTGATCACTTTGTTGTTCGAGCTCTGGATCATCTTGTGCCTTGTCTTCGACTACATCTTCTTCAATCTGAGATATCTCTTCCTCTGGACTCTCGCTATGTTCCTCAGCTGGATGTGACGGTATTGGAACCTCACATGTATCAAGGGGTATCCCAGAATTACTCAGCTCAAGCTGTGAAGAAATAGTACTGCCAACGTTGATGTTCTTCTCAATCTTCTTTACTTCTTCCACTAGCTCATTCCCACTCTTGATCTTCTTCATTTCATCTAGTATAACCTTCCTAATAGGATCATCCTCGGCACTCCAAGTAAACTCGAGACTCAAAAGTGTGAGCTTGTCTATGCCATCGAACTCATCTTGAGTAGGCACTTGTGTTGAAGGTGTTGGTTAACCAAATGGAGGACCATTTAACTCCATTGGCAACATCTCCTGGTGCTGAGGTATATGAATAGGAGCTGAATAAGACTGTTGTGGAGCATAATTGTGGCTCTCCTCTTCATACCTAAATCCCTGCATATGATTACTAGAAGCAAACGGTGAGATCTCAGGGTTGTTGCTCCTATATGACATATTCGGGTTTTCAGGCCACCCATATGAGTAATTGTTTTGGTATGAGCTATGCTCTTGAGCGAAGCTCATGCCAAAACAACCTGGAGTGTAAGAGTAGCCATGCTGACATTCAGCGGGCAAATGGCCCTGAAATCCACAAATATGGCAAGTAGGAGCAACATAAGGATGGCCTCTGGAATAAGGATCATAAAAACTAGGCCTATCCTCAAAAACTACTTCTCGTTGCCGAGCTAAATCATCTAATCGATGGGAAATATTACCTATCAGTTCTTGAATACTTTCCGTGCTGTTTGTAGTGTTGCTCGCATAAGCATGATGATCTGAGTAGAATGCCATTTCCAAGAAGATGGTTCTAACCTGCAAAATGGAAAAGAAAACAAAGGTGAAATAATCTGGAACAAGGGTTAGGAGTTAGAGATATATCACAAATATATAGCACAAAATAGAAAATGAAGAAAAACCTAGTCTATAGCCTAGCACAATCGCTCGACGCTAATCCCCAACAATGGTGCCAAAATGATCGATAGTAGGTACAGTGGGGTTTTTATACCCAAACTGCGAGTGTCATATTCTCCTCAGGGACTAGGCGACGGCAACTATACTTGGCTAAAGCTAGGTAATAGAATTTAGATGATGATTGCAAGGAAATATAGACCTAAACTAACCAAAGTTGACGATAAAGAAAATAACACAGTAGCAAGGAAGGTTCAAATTATCTTCAACAATCTTTTTGGTATTTTCGTAATGCTTGAGAAATTAAGATACTAACAAAAGCTATCATCAATGACAAGAGAAGTAAAAGGACATGAACATAACACACACATATATATCACAGATTCACAGCTAGCACAAGGTACAAGATTGTAGCGACCAGACCTCAAACAGTCTGATCTCTGTGCTCAGTGTCATCCCTGGATCAGTAATGCTGACACCACACATTACTTGGAGGATTTATAACAGAGTAGCAATCACACACTTATTACATCGAATGTCTCAAAAGAGAACTTATTGAAATAAATATGGCTTAAGGCCATCTAAAACGATTACAGCAGAAGGCTTGGAATATAAGCAAGTCCATCAACTCCAATGGCATCACTGAGTATAGGACCACGACCTAACAGCACCTTACTCGTCGTCTGAAAAGTCTGCAACATGAAACGTTGCAGCCCGAAAACGGGTCAGCACATGGAATATGCTGGCAATGTAACACATAGAAAATAACAATGGAGATAGGCTATACTACATGCATATTTGGCTGGTGGTAAAGCTCTATGGTTACAGTTTTTGCATAAAGCCAATTTTTCCCTACTTCAAAGGAATAAACTCATTTAACTATCATGGTGGTTGTTAAACATTGAGAATGGTTGACAGCATTCTCAATCCCAATTAAAAAGTACTCATTAAACCCAACAATATTAAATTAGAGTAACATGATGAGATTCACATGATATCCAGGTACTAGATACTCAAGATGTCCATAATCGGGGACACGGCTAATCATGATTAGTTTATACACTCTGTAGAGGTTTGCGCACTTTTCCCCACATGACTCGATCGCCTCCGCTTGGTTTCTCGCACTACATGATGTTTGAGAAACGGATGACCGAGACATAGTCTTTCAGAAGCACTTGCACCTTACATAGGGGTAGACCGTACCAACCTACATCCCCTATATCTGCTAGTCCACCCCGTAAGAGTTCGCACAACTTAGTCAACTATGCTAGAGCCCATAATAGCATGTGGCTGCACACGGAAGTTTCTAGTTTGAATAATCTCATGATCCCTTTGAGCCTGGGTGGCGGTCCGAAGAAATACAGGCAAGTCCTGCTAGAAAACAGGTGCCTCAATCCACCCAGATGTGTGTTTAAGTTGCCACCTAAAATAAACCATTAATTAACAATCACACATCTGTCATGGATATTCACTCACCCAATCCACGTCTACTAGCATAGCATGGCATAATAGGCAAACGTAGAAGTAACTCCCAAAGGTTTGAAAATAAAACAGGTAATAGGTACTACCTCAATCTACTTCCCATCCCACAATTTAATTAGATCCTAGTTAATGCAATGTTTGAGGATAGATCTAATGCATAAAACTGGGTAGTAGAAAGGTATGATCAAGTGTTACTTGCCTTGCTGATGATCTGCGAAACCTAGAGACTCGAAGTAACAGGCGGCGCACTCCGGGTATTCTATCGCAGACAAACAAACAAGCATACAATAAGTACTCATCTAATGCACAGGTAAAACTCGAGTAAAAGATCTAACCAGATTGTTCAACTTAAGAACTCCGGTTTGCAAAAAGAATCAAATCAAAGAGCTTCGTTTTACTAATCTGGATCTAAGTCAAATTTTACAGAAGCAAAAACTTATTTAAGTAGATTATTCAGAAAGAGGGTTTCGAGACGAAACTCCAAGCGCTTGAATCGCCTGATTTCGATAAACGAGTGAAAAGTTAAACTAAAACGAAAATCGGATCAGGAATCGCGATCAGAAAAATCGCGGATTAAATCCGAGAAAAAGAAAAAAACAACGAACGGGTTAACAAACGAACGTTCGTTAACTAAACGAATCTGACGAAAGCGTTTGTTAAAATGAACTAACGAACGAACGTCCGCTAATTAACCTAAACCGAAAAAAAAAACCGAAAACTAAATAAAAAAACGAATCTAAAAATACCCGAAACAAAACCGAAATAAAACCGTCCGGTTTTTAAGAAAACTGGTGGCACGCGGTTCGAGGCGGCGGCGAACCTCGGCGGCGGCGGCAAAGTCCGGCGACGGCTGGCGGCGGCGGCGGCGATGGATCTGGCGGCGGCAACGTTTAGGGTTAGGGTTTGGGCGCGGGTGGGCCAGCGGCGG